TAAAAAAAAATTTAAAAAAAAATATGGAACTGGGAGTTCTGGTGGACAAGTGGAAAGAAGCTGTGTTGCAATCCTGAAGGCACATGGTTCAAATCCAACAGATGCTTCGCTGGAGAAGGAAGGGCAATCTCCTTCTGTGCCAGTCTGATCTGATTCAATAGTGCACAACAAGTAAATAAAAAAAGAAACTGAAACCACCTCTGTGGCTCAGCTTCCAGCCAATTAATAGCCAAACCTGCAACAACAGGGGGGAACACACCCCTTAGAAAACCAGCATTATGAGATCCAAAGGGCAGCACTTTCTCAGCGATAAAGCTCAGAGTACAGAAAGGAATGGAAATAAAGATGAATGGAAATGGGAAATACAGAATGGAAGTGGGACGAGAGTTGCTATAATGTGGGGATTATAACCAATATCAGGAAGTAAAAGGCACGAACTGTTGGGTGGAAAGCCAATTTGGTCTGTAAATTTTCACTCAATAAGCAACAAACATTTTAAAATCTAACACACATCCATGTTCCTCCCGCCTCAAATGTGACGGCTGGAGCTGTGGAAGCCACCTTCTATTCTGTGAAGCAGAAATGGCAATAATCATCGGGGATGGGGGTAATTAACGTGCTCAGGGTTGCAGAGAACTGGAGCAAGAGCGAGCCTGTATCCATACATTGTTATTGTTGTTAGGCATGGTAGAGTCAAGTGCAGTCCTATAAATAATGGAACCCTGCCCTAGCCCTGCGCCACACTCATCAACTCTGCTGTACTCAAAAGTAGTCTCCAATGATCCAGGGCTCCCCATGTCTTCCACACCCCTGGCAATGCATCATGTAGCATCAACATGCATGATGTACCCATCAACAGTGGAGTCTATTTCTCTACTGCCTTGAAACTAGTTGTGAGTTACTGGCCGATATTGAGCAGAGAAAATTGAGAAAGTAACATTTTGAGTCCCTAGTGCAAACATTTGGAAGCAGGAGCGGCATCCACTTTCTAAAGAACATGCCTCTGAAAATTCTATGAACTTTGATAAATGTCAACAGTTGTAGAAAGGCTTCAGGCCTTTTGTTCATAGGGTCTCTATGAGTCAAGCTCTACTTGAAGGCAATCAACAACAACAACAGTACAAACATTAAGAAGTCTTGTACTATCTACTATTTCTTGAGGGGCTTTCAGCCACAAGGTAAAGCCCAGGACATCCACACAGAGAAAGAGACAGCATGAAAAGAAAGAAGTCATAGAGGAGAGAATGCCCCAGACATATGTGTGAGACCCAGCTGGCAGCATGAAAACAGAAAGAGAGAGAGAGAGACCCACCAGCCTCTGTTCACAGCAGCCCTGTGTGAGGGAGATGTCCAATTAAGACACCAGACAGGTGAAGGAACCAAGCTGGACCCCCATCCCACATCAAAGTATAAATTAAGTTCAAGCACAGGAGACTCTAGGTTCTGTTACAGCAGTAAGTCAGTCTCATAAACTTCCTCAAATAGCGCTGACTGTCACCTACCTGAAACATCTAGATGGAAGGAGACCTTCTGGCTCCTGGCCTCATACCTGTACTCCCCAGTGTCTGCCTTGCTCAGTTTCTGCACCACCAGCTGTCACTCATGGCCTGTGGCCTCCATATTCACACTGAAGTTCACACTCAGCTTCTTCCCAGTCTTGTACCACACCACTTCTCTCTGGGACAAAGCCATCTCGCAGCTCAGGGTGGCACTGGCCCCCACCTCTGCCCACACCTCGCTCCGTGTTGCCTGGTCCTTGGCAAACACCACGGAGGGCTCTGGGAATGGTGAGGGACACGTGGCCAGAAATATCAGAGACTGATGTTTCAGATCTAGAATGTCTCACGCCTGAGCCCACTGAGTGTAGGTGGTGGGCTTTCTGTAATGGAGGAGCAGCAGCCTCCACAAAGACACAGCTTTGAACAAGGAAAAGTGTATCTGGGAAGTCACAGGTGGTGGCCATAGGGAGTACACTCATAGGAGAATTCCATAAAGGCCAGACTACAGAATGCAAGGAATATCCCAGAGTTCAAACAGCCCTAAAAATCCTGTGTTATATTCACACAATGGAATACTATACTGCATTGAAAAACAAGGAACTCATACAATATTATTCAAAATGGGTGAGCCTGGAGGACATCATGCTGAATGAAGTATCTCAGTCACAAAAGGACAAATATTGCATGGTGCCACTGATGTAAAATGGGACTGATATCAGGGTTGGGGTAAGACTGAGGAAAACTGGATAAATTGTGCACTGAAACAGATGAGGGAGAGAATAATTTAAAAGCAATGTATGATAGGGTACTATGGTTATCACAAGAGTCCACAATTACGGTTGCATAGTTGAATGTACTTGGGGCAGTGGGAGGGGTGCGGGGGGATTGTGTACCAGGGAGGGAGTCTTTCTTTTACTTTTCAAAGAGAGGAGCGAACTGGGGAGGGGGGAGGGCTAGGAGGGGAGAGAAGTGCAGCAATAAATGAATGGAAATCCAAAATCTCTGTAAATGCTCATTAAAATTATTAAAATAATTTTTTAAAATGTGCTGTTACCTGTTAGGATTAGTTTTCTGGGTTTTAAGGACCACCATGTTGTGAGACATCTCTGTCAACTGTAACAAAGTCAGGTTCTACATCTTATTTGATGGGCAGCATCTGAGATCTTCTCATCTAAGATACAATCATTGGTCTCTACTTGTCATGGAGTAAAGCAAAGCAAGGAACTCAAAGAAGAAATTAACCTACAGGAGTAATAAGTCTCTATGAATGCCTTCCATGCTAAGGCCTGGACTAGACTGTGCCCAGTGTCACCGGTTGGCCAGCCCACCCAACCCTGGCTCTGGGGCTTGAGATGCCATGGCAGGTGCACTGACAGGTGTACTGACAGGGACGCCAGGGTGAGGAGGGCTTCCTTCCCTGACAGCGGAGTGTCATGCTGGCTCTGCTCTACAGCACTAAGAACAAGACGGCCACACTGGAGGCTGCTGCCAAGTCACCATCCACTGAGCATCAACAGATACCTGGGCCCCTGCCGAGCAGCACAGCTCCAGGGCCACTCTGTACCAGAGACGGGATGGAGCCTGAGATGACACCGAGGCCCACAGCTGGTCCCATCACGGGGATGCCTTGATATCAAAACACACTCACTGAGTCAACATTCAACACTCACGGATCCCCTCCCGTAGGACCAACCCTGGGACCCACCTGTGACGTCCAGGTGGAAGGAGACCTTCTGGCCCCCGGCCTCACAGCTGTACTCCCCGGCGTCCACCTTGCCCGCCTGCTGCACCACCAGCCGCCGTGCACAGCCCGTGGCCTCCATGTGCACCTTCGAGCTCGAGCTCAGCTTCTTCCCAGCCTTGTACCACGTCACCTCTGTCTGGGCCTGGGCCACCTCACAGCTCAGCGTGGCGCTGGCCCCTGCCTCGGCCTGCACCTTGCTCTGTGCTGCTTGCTGCTTGGCAAACACCGCCGCAGGCTCTGAAGACAAGAAGGGACACTGAGTCACAGAGCTTCATTCAAGTGAAATTGCCCAAATTCTAAATCCATGGCAATGGGTCTCTACACCCCAGGAAACCATGACCTCACCATGAGCAGCCTTCACAGACCAGGGACAGGACACAGGAACTGCCCATGCTCAGGGGCTGGTTCCCGATCAACCCCTCACTGAAAGGCATGCAAGGTAAAACAAGGGCCCCACGAGAAGACCTTCCTGGAGCCATGCAGGAGAGTAGACAGAGGAAACTCCAATAGGGGGCACAGTGGTCACCCAGTGTGGACTCAGCCACAGTGCTTGGTGAGCTCGTCTCAGTCCTCACCAGGCCACATGGTGCTTCAATGCAGAGAGGAGAGGTGCCGTGCACCTTACCAGTACCTCCCCGTTACTCCAATGGAGCGAGAAGAAACCACATCACGTTTTCACTTTGCTAAGTGCCAACCATTCAGCTGCCCATGTGAGTTTGTAAACTATGTAAACTGAAGTGCCAATGTACTTGCCTCTGAACACAGCTGTGGGGCGATTCGAGTCCACAGGGTCTCCAAGAGCCCCCTGAGAGATGAGCCCATGTCAGAGGTGAGGCCCGAACTAACAACTGGGGCTGCAGTGACCTGCTTTGCTTCTCAGGAACATCTTGTAGGCTTCCCCCTCAGATGCCTAGCCATCACCTTGGGGGTCCCAAAAGTTTTTGTAAAGAGCCAGGCCCTTAGACTAGCATATATTCAAACCTCAACTTGCCAAGGGCACTTCAAGAGACTTTTCGGTTCTCCCAGCCTCAGTTTTCTCATTTTTAAGAAGAGAATAAACCTTTCAAGAACATTTTTAAATCAAGTGCCTGGCCTTGAAATTGGTGTACAGAGACACAATAAACAAGAGCACGCCCTGGCTACAGGCATGAAGACAAGAGGCCCTGCCTCCAGAACCTTCATAATTAAACGTAGACACCATGCCTGACAGGGGACTGTTGTTATTGTTGTTAAGTGCCATCAAGTCAAGTACGACCCAGAGCAACCCTATGAACAATAGATCTGAACCCTGTCCTATCCTGTGCCATCCTCATCATCTCTGACACACTCAAACCCACTGCTGCAGCCACTGCGTCAATCCATCTGGTTGAGGGTGTTCCTGTCTTTTTCTGATGTTCACCTTTCTAAGCATGACGTCCTTCTCCAAGGAAAAGCCTCTCCTAGCAACATCTCCAAAGCATGTGAGACAAAGGTTTATCATCTTTGCCTTCAAGGAGCACTCTGGCTGCATACTGTCTCTGAGACATATCTGTTTGTCCGTTTGGCAGTCACTGGGATATTCAGCACTCATCTCTAATATCACAGGTCAAAGGCATCATTTCTTCTGTCATCCTTGGTTGCCCAGCTCTCAGGTATATATAGCAAGTGATTGGAAAGATCATGGCCTAACTCATGTGCATCTTAGCCCCAGGGGACTTAACCCCTTTGCACAGGAGCCTCAGTGCAGAACTCCACAGTACTGTTGAGGAGCGGGTTACCCTGGCTAATGAGACATTAGCTGGTTAGCCACCCCTCTTCCCCAGAACCAAGGTCAGATTTCTACTGGGAAAGGAAGGCATTTTTTGTTTCAAAGAGAAGACAAGCTGATGCAAAACACAGAAGTATTTGTACACTCTGCTTGGTTTCTGCTATTGCTTGGGCCATTTCAAGAGGGCTGGGCTGAGGCTGAATCCTTAGACTAGACATTAATCCCCAGTCACAACCATAGGCACCTCAGGCTCCCAAGGTCCAGATGGCTGACAAATACTCAGGAGCAGAGAGAAGGATGCTATGAATGCCTGAGATAAAACCAAGTTGCTCCTGAATTTTCTTCTTGTAATTTACTTTATTTTTTACTTTCAGATTATTTGTCCAGGATTATTTTTGTGTACGTTATTTCTTTTCCCACTTAAAGAAGCAACTGTTCTAAACCATCAATTCTTGGTTTTCCCAACATCACAGTGATCGAAAGTGCTGGATGCATCCAGACCTGCTTTCCACCCACACAAGCCCAAATAATATATACAAATGCTCGCCCACGCCCAGGGACAAGTGTGCTCACCAGACACCCGGAGCTGGAACTCCACAGAGTCCTCGCCTGCACGGCACGTGTAAGTGCCCTCATCCTGCCTGGTGACCGAGGAAGCCACCAGGCGGTGCCGCGTCCCCACATCCTCCCGTGAGAAGCGCTGGGAGGAGCTGCTAAGCTCTGTGCCATCCTTGTACCATCTCACACTCATGTGGGCCTCCGAAGTCTCACACTCAAACTGCGCCTGGCTGCCGGCCACTGCTTCCACACGGCCGCCCGATGGCTCCTTGTGCAGGAAGCTGGTAAGGCCTGAAACGGCACAGACAGTGAAGAGGTCAGGGTGGGAGGGCTGGGGACCAGGCTTGCAAATAGCAGAAGACCCCTGACGTGGCATGGCAAAGGTCAACCAGAAGGTCAGAGTGCTGAGGTCTTGGGGACCCTATGGGTTACGGATGGAGAACTCACTGTTAGAAGCTGCTACTTCTTACAGAGCTCTTCCCAATCCCACCTCCCTTCTTGCCAGGGACAGAGCACAGCTGGTCCTATTACCGACAGATTTCTCTCAGAAGCCTCGCCTTAGAGCTGCAGTGGCAATGACAGGTGGAGCCCAGTAGCCGCTCACCGTGCTCACCTTGCACAGACAGCTGGTAGGCAATGCGGTCCCCATGACTGAGGCACTCGTAGAGGCCAGCATCATCGCGAGCCACATCACGCACCAGGAGGACACGCTGCCCGGCCGACGCCTGCACCTCATACTTGGGGCCCGGTGGCAGCGCTCGGCCGTCCTTCAGCCACGTCACGGCCGCCGCCTGGTCCGACAGCTCCGCCAGCAGCTGTGCCTCCTCGTGCAGCCGTGCCCACACCTTCTGGGCCGCGGCCACAGGCAACCTGTCACCAATCAGCCCTGGGGCTGCTGGGGGACCATGGCAGGCAAATGAGGTAGCCATGACAGACAGCCACAGACAACAGCCAGAAGAGGAAGGGGGGAGAGAGAAGGGGAAATGAGAGAGGAGAACAAGGACACAGGGGAGGGACAGACAGAACGAACAAAAAGGGTAGAGAAAGGAAGACGAGAGGAGGGAAGGGACATAAGCCATGAGGAGTGGGAGGGACACAGAAGGACAAGCAACCAGATCGATGCAGAAGAGGGTGCAGCAGAGGAGACGAGGCATGTCAGAGGTCAGAAATGTCCCAGAGAAGGAAGGAAGGTGGAGAGTTCCATCAGGGGATGGAGGGAGGAGAGACAAGAAAGAAATGGATAAGAAATGATATGGAATGGGAGAAAGAGATGGTGATGGGGTGAGGGAGGAGAGAAAAGGTAGGAAGAGAGGTAAGGTTGTGCCATCAGCAGCCTCTCTCAGGCCCCCTGCCCCAGCCCCCTCCCACACATAACCCTGCAGTGACCTCCCAGCCTGGAAATGAGACGCCTTAAAGGACCTGCCCTGTCATGTCCACTGTGGCTTCTGAGACCACATACTAGTAGTTCACTGCTAGCTGGTCAGTGAGTTCCCAGCAGAGTGGTCTCCCCTGGAGATACAAAAGGGAAGGAGACCCAAGCAGGGGCTAAGCAGCAGCCCACCAGAAGCCTAGGCCTGGAAACTCCTCTGGTCTGCAGCTGTTCTCTCATGAGTCCATCCCAGGCACCCTCAGGCCTCAAGAATGAGAACCCTGACTGTGTTCAGACCAGGGTGGGCCCAGCTCAGACTAGGGTCCTCAGAGGACACTCCACTGCTTAGGATGCTCCCAGCAGCCTCACCGGGAACCTCCTCCCGAAGTCCTGAGGGCAAGTGTGGCCAGGCTGCAATGTCCCCCTAAAGCTGGCTACTTTCACCAGTCCACACACAGACCCCTTACGGGCCAGATTATAGCTTTTATGCACAATTCCTAGAGCCTGGAACTCACTGATCCCACACACCTCTTGAAGCTAGGTACTATAAGCTTCCCTATTTCCAAGGAGCTCTGGTGGGCTAGTAGTGAGACTTTGCACTGCCAACCCTAAGGCATGTGGTTCAAATTCACCAGCTGCTCCATGGCAGAAAGATGGGCAACTAACTTCCATGCAATTTAAAGCCACTGAAAACCCAGGGGCAGCTATGAGTTGGCTCCAACTGGATAACACCTAACAACTTCTCCCATGGAAGGCACAGAGGCCATAGGGTTTCTGTTCCGAAAGCCATCCTAGAATCCACCCTGCCTGTCCCACGATGACAGTCATCCGGTGAGACCCAGTGCAGGGCAGTGCCTCCGTACCTCGTACCACCATGCGGATGCTGCTCTCAATGCCATTGGCCACGAACTTGAGCTCGGCACCATGCAAGCTGGCAGGCACAGTGCGGATGGTGAGTGTGTGATGGGTGCGGTCACAGCGGATCACGTACACGCTGCTGGCCTGCAGGGGCTTCCCGTCCAGGAACCATTCTCCTGATGAGGCCACTGTGAGGTCCACGGAGAAGGTCACCTCTCCACCCTCCACAGCCTCCACTGCCTTCAGGGGTGTCTTTACAGCCAGCTGAGGGGCTGGGGAGGAACAGAAGTATCAGCCTCTGCACTCACCATCCCTCCTCCAGAGCCAATCACACCTTCACCATGAAGTTCCACTGTCCAACATTTGGTGGGCATGAGTACAAGTTGGGCCCCATGTGGGCCCCATGAGAGCCACTCAGAAGACCACCACCCTCCCCAGGATTTCTAAACCAGCTGGTCCCCAGGGAGGCAGACTCCTTGAAGTGCTGGAGTCTTGTTTCAGGATACCTTCTCTCCCCACCACGGAAGCTTCCACCCAGCTGAGCCCTGCCCAACAGAGAGGGTCTCTAACACTGAGGCCAGGCCTGGGATATGAGAGATCATGACCACAGGGGCTGCTACCAAAGGCCATGGAGAACAGACCTTCCCAGACTGACGCCAGGCCCAGCTGGGGACCTTCTTACCCAGGTGGAATGTCCCTGGGAACTCAAGGGAGGGACTCTGGCCAAAGCTGTTCACAGCTGACACCCGGAACTGGAAGTCCCCTTCCTCTGCCACTCCAGCCACGGTCAGCTCCAACGTGGACACCCATTCAGCCTCATGGCATCGGGTCCAGGCATAGGCCCCGAGTCTTCTCTTCTCCACCACGTAGCCATCAATGGTGACAGGGCGGTCTCCTTGGAACGGTGGGGACCAGCTGAAGGTCACAGAACTCTCCGTCTTGGCTTTCACCACAGGATCAGAAGGTGGGTACAAGGGTGGCCTCCTGGGGGCTAGGGGTACACAAGCCCGTGTGAGCGCCCACCAATGAAAAGGTTGCCATCATCAAACAAGAGGTTCACTGGGGATCCTATTCCGATGCCCAGGATTACTCAGGGGGAGGCTGTCACATGACATCCATCAACCCTCCTCGGGGAGCTGTTCAGGTGGCTAGAAGAGATCCAGGGAGGCTGCGGGGCCCATGACCCCATGTGGGCCTGCTGCTGATGTCTCCGGTTGCCACAGAAAATACACAGCCTAGGCCCCAAGAGCGACTCGATGGCACACAGCAACAACAACAACAACAACAGGCCCCAAGAACACCACAAGCTGCCACATAGCTTTAAGATGACTCTTTTCGGTCTGGGTCCTGGTACACACCTGGACTAAGAAGTATCAAAGACTTGGGCTGGATGAGTGCTAAGGCAGGACGCAATGGTCCGCTGCAGATGCTTTATAAGGGGAGGTGGGGCCCACCCCTGCCCTGAGCAAAGAAGGAGCCTGGTGAGGCCTAGTGGGGGCAAGGAGACCCACCACCCAGTCTACAAAACACTGATATGTGACACTAAGGGTCTAGAGAAATGAGATTAAATGCTCACACTTCTATGTCCTCACCGCAAACCCTATACCTCAAGAATAGCTGAAGCTCAAAGCTGGCCTTCTGCTTTCCAAAGCACCTTCTAATTTGGTTAGCAGTGCAGAGGCCACAAGGACTCCCATTTCACAGCCGCCTCAGTGACCACATAAATGACCATCCAAAACTAGATACTTCAGAGAGTCAAAGAGGGCAGTAAAAACAAATCCAGAGCTGTCCTAGAGAACCAGAACCACAACCACTCCAGCCACCACAGCCTGGCACCTCCATGAGCTGTAGCCCAGGGCAGGCAGGGAGCAGGAGGCAAGGGGGGGAGCCTTCTGTCCACTGATGCCCAGTGGTCTGAGACAGGAGAGGTGGTTGGGGTACACTATCTAAGAGTCACTCTGGAGGACCTTACCCGCCACACAGAACTGGGTGGATGTCCGGCAGTCCCCAGCTGTGAAGGCCACCTCGCCAGCATCCTCCAGGCTGCACTGGGAGATGGTCAGCGTGTGGCACGTGCCTACAGCAGTGATGTTAACTCGACCTCCGGCCACCATCTCTTCCTGGTTCCGCAGCCAGCGCACAGGGCCCTCCGGGTTGGCCAGCTCCACACAAAATATGGCAGTGTCCCCTACCCGGATGCTTGTCTTCCGTGGGAGCTTTCTGGTGACATTGCCTGTGGTGGAAGGGAATCCAGGGCAGGGTCAGACAGGAGACACCCAGCCCACCCACCCTGCCTACCACCCACCTGCACCTCAGCCCAGCCCACAGCGTGCCTTGGACAGAGAGCTCAGCCACCGTGCGGCTGCCTTCTTTGGTCTCACAGATGTAGACTGCATCATCATCAGCCGTGACATTGCGCACGGTCAGGCGGCGTTCGGTGCCTTCCTCCTCGATGGCATACTTGGCGCTGGCCCACAGGCGCGTCTCCTCCTTGTACCAGGCGGCCTCCGTGGCTGGCTGGGCCACCTCACACTGGAATGTAGCAGACTCCTTTTCCTGAACCTCCAGGTCCTCCAGGCGCTTCTTAAAGGGCACCGGGGGCTCTGCCAAGAGAGGATCCATGAGGTAAGCCCTCCTGAAGGGGCTCCAGGGCAAGGGCAGAGTTAGAGACGGAGCTGGAAACAGTGTGGAGGGTGAGAGGGGTGAGGATGGAACAGAAATGGGATGCAACATTGAGAGCAAGGGGACCAGAACCAGTGAATGGTGACATGGGAGTGAGGGGCAGAGAGGCAAGAATAACACCTCCAAGATCCAATTAATACAACAGAGGAAAAAAGTAAGGGGATGGGGAGCATGGGTCATGCAGTTCAAAGGAAAAAGTCCTTCCAAAGAACTCTGAAGGACAGGAGAAAGGGAAGCAGGTGACGTGGAAAGCAAGAATCACAGAGGAGAAACACAGACACCAGTGGTGGCAAAGCTGAGGGCGCTTCCACCCCTGCTCCTCTACCCCAACAGGCAAGAAAGAGAACAGGAAAGGTGCATTCTGAACAGGAATTTTCAAGAAATCTGATTATTCCCACAGTGAAACTCCCTGAGTGTTTGCTATGGGCCAGGCCCCTTTAGGCAAGCTACACTATCCCTGATTCAGACTTCTCAACAACCCACAAGGAAAAAGGACCTTCCTGTCCAACAAAATGAGGAAACTGAGGCACAAAAAGAAGCAAGCACACTGTCCCAAGATTCCACAGGTGTTAAGAATTGTAGGTGGACTCAGATATCAAGAGGCAAGATGGGCTATCTGCTGTACAATTATCTGCCTCCGAAAACTCACTGGAGCATTAGCTATGGGTCGACAGTACACAATAACAACATTCTTAGGAAACTGAGTCTTCTAATGGATTGAGAAATTATGGTACATTCCCACAATGGAATACTATGCAGCATGCAGGAGCAATGATTTTTTTTTTAATTATTACCTAATTTGGGAGGGACTGGAGAGCATTATGCTGAGTGAACTAACTCAGTCCCATAAGGATAAACATTATATAAAACCATTATTGTACAGTGAGTATAAGGATCCAAAGGAGGTGGGGGAGGGTGGATGCAGAGGGATGAAGATGTGCAGGTGGATTAATCATAGAGTTGTATAATTTGATAGGTGGGGGTTGAGGGAAATTGGAAGAATCTATTCTCAAAAACAATGTATTCGAATTTTGTAAATAAACTAGTATGTTGTTGTTGTTTTTAAGTGACATAGAGTCGCAGGCGACTCATAGAGACCCTATGAAGGAGAGTCCTCGACGCTTGGGTGCCTTTCATCCTCTCTCCAGGTTCAAAGGGTTTCCGGAGGCAAGCTATCATGCAAGTGGATGCCACTCCTCCTTCCAAATATAAACTAGTATAATTTAAAAAAGAAAAAAACCAAAAAAAAAAATCCAAACAAACAACAACCCTAATTAAGGGCACATTACCACCACTATTCTTCTCAGCGGAGCTCCCCACCTTGGCGGTGAGAGGACCCCAAGAGGCACATATACTGTCCAAGAGGGCTGCAACTAGTGCTCCCCGTCCCACCTCCTTTAGCATCCTGAGAGGGAAGGGCGGGCTAGGGTCACTCCTCCACCTGGACAGGGAGACACAGTAGCTAAGGAAGCCCTGTTAGCAGTTTCTGGGGAGAGCTTGGTGCACCTCAACAATCTCCCAGGGTTCTCCTACTTGAAAAGTAGTCTGTGAAATCTCATATCCGTGGAGGTATAAAAGGGGTCTGGTTGCCTAGTAGCAAGAAGCTGCATTGCAATCCCAGAGGCATGCGGTTCGAATCCACTAGATACTCTGCTGGAGAAGGAGGGGCAATCTCCTCTTGTACCAATCAGATCCGATTTGACGGTACACACGTAAAAAATAATAAAATAAAATTTAAAAAAAGAAAGAAAGGGCATGTGGCCAAGTGTCCCCCTTGGGCCTCTCCCAGAACAGCAGCGGCAGAGTGGTTACTGCTAAACCAGCTCTCCTCTTACATACTACTGAGGCCAGCTCTCCTCTTACATACTACTGAGAAAGAGAGTTAGGGCTGATCATATCCCCAAACTCCTTAAAAAGTTCCACCAGAAATCTGAGCTGTCTCTTTCTATCCACTGCCATTGTTTCTATCACTCCCTAGCCATCCTGTGATTAACCTCAGGTTAAGAGCCCACTCCTAGTCATAGAAGAGAACTGGGCTTAGAGCTACCTGCAACCTTCAGAGGGTATGTGGCTGGGATGGAGTGGTAAAGGGTTCTGCTTTCCTCTTTACTTGTGCGGCTCACACCAAAACTATAGGACAAACTGAGGTCATCGTCCTCACGTCTCCTGGCAGGAAGCCGCCAAATTCTCAGAGCTTGGCTTCCAAAAGTGGAAAAAAGCACAGAATGTGAGCAGGGTGTGTGCTGGATGTGGGAGTGGAGGACGTGGAGCGCCAGACCCTAATTGGCTGGGCACGCAGCTCACCTCTAACAACCACCAGCACCGAGCTGTAGGTCTGACCCACGAGGTTGGAGGCGGTGCAGGTGTAGAGACCCCGGTCGCCCTGCTTGCAGAAGAGGATCTTGAGCACAAAGTTCTCCTGCGCATCCTCATACACCATGTGCCGCCGGCCCTCCACCACCAGCTGCCCGTCCTTCTTCCACACTGTCTCTGGCTTCGGCTCTCCGGTCACGTAGCAGCTGAGCCGCGCGTGCTTGCCCTCGGTCACCGTGCACGTGCGGGTGCCAGCGCCGGGTGGCGTCCGCGGGCCGTCAACGCGCATCTCTTCGCGCCGCCGCTGCAGGTGCGCCAGCAGCGCGGCGGTGGACCCCACGGGCGGGCCTGGCGCGCTGGCGTCCACCACGAGTGCGGCGCTGGCGCTGGCGGCCCCCAGAGGGTTCTCGGCGTGCACGGTGTAGGTGCCGCCATCGCGTAGTCGTGCGGAACGAATGCGCAGCGCGCTCGCCTCGCCGTGAGCCTCCACTTGCACTCGGTGGGCATCGGGCGCGGCGGGCTCCCCCAAGCGGCGGCCGTCCTTGGCCCAGCTCACGGCTGGCTGCGGGCTGCCCTGCACGCGGCAACGGAATGTGGCGTCCGCGCCCTCGCTCACACGGATGGACGTCGGCCGCAGCAGGAAGTGCGGCGCCTGCTCGGCGAGCGTGGTGTCCGGGCCCACCTGCAGGCTGACGGCAGCGAAGGCCTCCCCGATGGTGTTGCGCGCGCGGCACACGTACTGCCCACTGTCGCCGAGCGTGAGGTCCAGGATGGTGAGGCGGTACAGGTCGCCGTCCTGGGCCAGGCGGAAGCGCGCGCCCGCCTCCACCAGCTGCCTGTCCTTTTCCCAGCTCACCTGCGGCACGGGGTTGCCCACAATCTGGCAGCTTAATGTGGCATCCTTGCCCACCGACACCAGGAAGGCCTTGGGCCGGGTCAGAAAGCGGGGCGCACCGCTGAACGTGGAGTAATCCATGGCGACGGCAGTGGGAGAGGCCTGCGAGGCGAGAATGTACGGGGGAGAGTGATTTTAGGTAAATGTGCTGACTGGGGTACCTAACTTTTATCTATCTGTCCTGCTGCTCCCTCCCTGATCCAGTAAAACCCCAAGCTTGGGCTCTTGCTCATCCAAACATGGTCTCATTTCCCTCAGAGGAGCATCATCTGATGACAGAGGCCCTTTTCTTGGGCTTGAGTCTGGCTTATTTCTCTTCACCCACACCTAGTGGGGTATTCTGTCTGTTGTCCCACTACCCCAACTGGAGGTCCACTTTTGCCTGAATGACCCCAAACTGAGCACCTCGCCACTAGGAGGTGGGTAGGATCCCTTGGTTTCACACAAACTAGCTTTCCCCTCCAGCTGTGGGGGACCCTTCGCCACAGGTCCTGCCCTGCCCAGGTCCCCGTTGGTCCTTTCGGTATCCTGTCCTTTTCCTGCACACTAAAACTCTAATCTGCTTCTGTCTTTCCCACTCAAAGAGGAGAGACCTCCTGTACCATGGCGGGGGATACTCACAGGCACAAGGCTTAACCTTTGTGCACCACAGGATGCAGGCTCTGTTTCCCTCCCCCCCACACTCATCTTTTCTTTACTGCAGAACCACATCCCAACCCACTCTTCATGCTCCAACATACTGTGCTCCACACTATCCCAGTCTTCCTCAACCAGGAGGAACCTGGTGCCTCACTGGCACACTCCGATGCAGGCCTGGTCAGGACCAGCCAGTGAATGGGTCTTTGAATTAAACCATTGGCACTGCCACGGGCCAAGGCCTGGCCTTACCTGTTCATGGAGGTCTCCCCCACAAACCTCCACTTTGTACCAAGGTGATGCACTCACAAGCGGGCAGTGAAAGTGTGAAACTTCCCTCCCACTCTTCCCCAATACGCTCCTTGGTGCCCGAGAACCTGCAGCCCTAGGGTCTAGAATAATCTGGGTCCTCCTGCTTCCCCTCACCAGGGCCTGGCAAGGATCAGTGTCCAGTGACTGAAGAATACCAGTCATGTCCCCCAGTAATGGCGGATGATTCCAGGATGGGGCAGCCAGAACCACTAGGAGGCTGTTATGACTACTCACTCCTCAGACCTAGACCCTAGTTCCACTGACCAGGCATCCTGCAAGACATCTGTGACCTCTCCATGCCAAAGACCCTAGAATGACCTCCATGCTTCACCTACCCCAGGTCAAGCCCCAGCCAAGCCAGGCCCCTGACCCATGTGCTGTGAAAGGAGCCTGTTTTCACTGCCCCAGAATGCATAAAAACAGTCAATCCAATGTGTAGTGTTTTGGGGCCCCACATCTGAGGACGTGGGGAGCACTGTCACCCTGTGTGCAGAGAGCAGAGTCGCCACCAGGGTGTCCTGCTGTGCACCCCAAACAGGGCCACTGGCTTTAGGGAGTCTGCTTCCTCAGCTTCAGGCCTATGATTCAGGTCCCTAATCCCCTCTAATCCCAAACAAGAAGGCTGAGCTTGAACCAGGGCTGGGCTCTGGGACAGGGCTGCTGACTCACTGTGCAGTCAGCACTTCTGTCTCTCACCCCTCAGCCTGTCCAGGACTCTCTGGGCCTTAGGAGGATCCAGAACAGGTAGCTTTCTGCAGTGGGGACCAGAACTCAGAGTGTACCTCCCTTGCAAACCTGTCTCCATGCCTCCTAGCCAGGTCCTTCCCTCTTGGAATTCCTTGGTGTAAAGTCTGTGGAAGAACCATGTTGAATTGGGGTTCTGGGGTTCCTCACTGTGAGCTCCGACACCCCCTCCCCAGTACCCATCCAAGTCACATAATTGGTCAAGTACCTCAAAGGCAGAACACCGAATCCTTCCCATAACCACACCCATCATCACATCACAATGTGCACGTGCTCGAGCTCTCACTTCTCTCTGTTTCTCTGTCTCTCTGTCACACACACACACACACACGTGAATGCAGGAGTGTTTCAAGCTTGGCAAGAGTGGGATCCTTATATGGGCAGCCAAGGAGGTATCATCTATCTGCCTATGGCTACACTGCCCAGCAACCACCCATTGCTCTCAGAGGCAGCAGACCCCATTGGCCTTTGGGGACAGGTACACATATACAAGAAGTTTGTCAATAAGGGCTTCTTGGCACCCACAGCCACGACCTCTGAGCTCTATCTACTCGCCCAGGTTACACGTTAGAGAGTAGCCTCCTCTGGGCCCAGGAACACCCAGAGCCGTGTCTTTCTCTCTCCACATTGTACACAGGAGGCAGCTGGGCCCTCCTCATCTTCAGGACAAGGATACTGAGGCTTAGACAGAGAATGTCTGCTAGGTTGCAGCCACCCAGGATAAGCCCTTCCATCTTCTCAGAAGGTAGCCTCTTGTGCACCCCACCCAGGCTCTCAGCTGCATGGTGTTCTTGGGGCCTGCTCCAATATCACTGAAGCCTCAAGGACCCCTTAACCAACTTGGATTTGTGCTTGGTACTCAGAAGTCCCTGCAGCAGCAGACCCACAGTCATTCACAGTCTCTGAGCCTCCTAGGCAGCCCTCACTCTCTTTTTCCAGAAATGTTTCCATTCTGGTTCTCGCACAGCTCCTGGGCCCATTTTCCATATAAACCAGAATGAAAGATGACTGACAGACTCTCCCCAAACTGAGTGCTTCTTCCTGACAGATAGCCTCCCAATCCCAGACCTGTCTCACCATCTCTCCCCCTTTCTCCACCATCTGAGACAAGAGTCCACCACCTGTGGCCCACACCCTTCCAGAAAAGACTGCTATGGGCAGCCCCCCTTGGGGCACCTCACCTTTAACCTCTGAGTTGTCTGTTTCCCCTGCTCCAGGGTAAATTCTTTCCTGGAGTCAAGTGTCAGATGCCCCTCTGGCTGTCCCCTCCGCTGAGCCAACAAGCCCAAAATAGCCCCAGCTGTCAGCGGGCATCTCCACAGAGCTGGGGGCAGGGCCGGCCAGACCCCCAAGCTGCTCTGGGGCAAGTGGCCAGGGCATGGAAGTGGGCAAACTCTACAGGCCCAACTCTTGTTGTCCAGCCCAAAGACTGTGTGACTCCCTGCCCCTGGACACAGAAGTCATCCTCTCAGCCATGACCTGACCAGGCCCCACACCTCCCACAGACATGACCTTCAGCTGCACAGGGTCCCTGGATGTCCCGTGCACCACCCTTACCAGACTCTCACCTCCTCACCTGCATCTACAAGGGCGGGGCACCCAGATGGAGGGGCCGGGGCCTCCAGGCCTCCTTCCTTGCACCTACGCTGCTCCTGCCTAGCAGCCTGCACGCGGCCCTCCTTCGGACTGACTGGATGGGGACGAAAGGACAGGCACACTCTGTCAGCTGGAGAAGCTGGGCCCGCCCCCACCCCGCCCCCACCACTGGCCAGGCCGGGCCCAGCCCAGCTCCAAAATAGCGCGGGTGTCATTTCCCACAGATTCTGTTTCAGCCTCAAGCCCAGTAGAGGCTCTGGGGGCCAAACCCAAGGGAGTGGGACACTGTGTCCTCTATGAAGGACCCCACCTCAGACCAGCATCCCTGAGTCCATAGTGCAAAAGGGAGTCTGGGGTTGTCGGACCAATCCCCAGTGTGTGCATCAGTGCACGTCCTTCAGGTGCCTGCTCCCCTGTTTCTGGAGAGAGTTATAGTGTTCGCATGTCTTCCTCTATTGCAGGACTGTGAAGGGACAACAGGAAGTCCAAAAAAGTGATCCTCGAGGGCCTCCTAGAAAGAAGGAAGCCCTCGAAGGATACACACAATTTATCCTTTGAGAGGTTTTGATTGTGAAATATAACCAAGCAGCTAATACTGCATACAGTTAAGACAGCTTGGTGAGGCATAGAAAGGCAGGCAGCCCAGCATCCAGGCCCTCGCTGCTCTAGATGAAGCAGATGTCATGATGAAGCAGAAAAGGCAGTACTGTCGAGGCTGTGAGAGGCCCACAGGTGGCCCTGTGAACCCCAACTGAGGGTTCAAGAGCCCTGTGGAACAGTCCAGGGGAAGGCATGTTCTCCAGGGACTTCACAATCCCTACAGGTCCCGCACAGCAGGCCCTTCAGAGCCAGTGACTTCACCGTGGAGACAGTGGGAACAAGTGTAGGATGATCCTGCTGTGGCCAAACTGAAATGAAGCAACAGTCAGAGGACAGGTGAGTGACGGAGCCAGGGCCAGGCTGTGGGCTCAGAGGAAGGTAGGTATCCGAGAGGTACAGATTGGGGCGCGGAGGGGGCTGTCAACTACTGGTGTCAACTGAGTGGGTGGCAAGGGACAGCCCAGGGCTCCTCAAGTATCTGGGCAGATGGCAGTGAAGGCCTGCATGTGCTGGGGGTCACAGTACGTGGGTCTCAGGAGCACCCATGAAGGCTGGGCGGGAGGAAAGGCCTGGGGTCCCTGGTGGGCAAGGCAAGCTGACACCTAGAGTGAAAGATGCTGGCACAGAGTTCATGCAAGGTAGAGGAATGGCAGAGATATTCAAAGGGTGGTCATAGGAGCCCTGGAGACACTGCAGAATGGAGAACTGAGCATCTAACAGCATCCGGGGCTCAGCATGCCTACAGAGTCCTAGGAACGGTTTCAATCCACCAGGTGCCCGGAGGGAGAAAGATGGACAATCTTTTCTCATTCAATTTACCACCTCATAATGGGTTCCTATTTAATGGTGATGAGTTTTTTTAATAGTTCCTGGTTGTTGTCTTACAAATTTTTATCTTTAGCATATCACAAATGTATGAAAAAGAATGTGCTTTATTTCAGAATCCTAATTTGCAATGTTGTTTCATGAAATTCTTCTGTGTCTGCCAATTCCTTTCGATACAATGACTCAGTATATTCTTTCTATCTTCTTTTAATACTTCCTGGATCATTTAA